ATATTACTAGAAAAATACGGAAAGACTCCCATGGCGGCTCCTTCCACCAGAATATACAAGTATTATTTTGTTTTGGGTTTTTTTTTTTTTTAAATCCAGAGGGTATACAAAATTATCTTGATAAGAAACTCAATACAAATATCTTGCCAAAATATTCGAGCTTCCCACAGTCTGGTTTTCTTTTACATCTCAGGATTTAAGGAAATGAAAATGGGCATGCCTGCTCAGACACAGATCAGGATTTGTAAGGTGGGGCCCAATCTGTTCACTGTCAAGGGCATCAGAATCCCCTGGGAGCCTGTTAAAGTAAGAGGTGACTGGTTCCCACCCAGCCTGAGACTAGGCCTGCTTGGCCTGGGCGGGGCCATCTCTCCTTGCCTGCTCCATTCTTGGCTTTGGCTAGCTGCTGAGCCTCCGAGCTGATGTCCTAAGAGGGTGGCACCATATTCTTGCATCAGAGTCTGAGAGCTTGAACTTATGCAGGATTCTGGGGCCCACCCAGGCACGGTAGAACAGGCTTGGGTGAAAACAGGGCTATGTCTTTAAACTTTATTAACTTCCTGAAGGACTTGTAAACCATTACCTTAGTGTGAAAGAGTTATAGATGAACAGGAATTTGCAAATAAATAAACAAAATATACACAGGGGGATCTAGTATCTTTTATCCAGTTTGCCCCATGGCGATCTAACCAAATGCAGGTAAAACCAGTCCATGCTATCAAAACCAGCAGGTGAGGCTCAGTTCATGCACAGAGATTGTTCAGGCTTCATCCAAGCATATATGCACACACGAGTGGCAGCGTGTAGAATAGACATGTAAGCATCTGTCTCTCTCTGCAATATCATAGCTCAACTGCTACAGTCAAGTTGTTCATATACTCATTTCTCCTGCTCCTTTGTCCAAGAAAAAAAAAATATCAGTTATTCTAAATCTTTTGTCTTTCCCTGCAAGTGTTTGAGTAAATTTGTCCATGCTCATATTAGTTCTTAGCAGGAAATGTCTCACATCTGCAGGCCAGTTTAAGGAGGAGCATGTCATTATACCAAACCGTGAACATGCTTTGTTTCTGCATTTGTGTAGTTACTAGGTGTCTTTCGTTGTGTGGGTTGTTTTATTTGTTTTGTAATGAACTCATGAGTTAGGCAAATATTCTGCCACTGAGCTCCGCCCCTAGTTGGTTCTGTGTGGGGTTTTTTCCCTAAACTTTAAAATTATACTTACAGCAGTAGTTAGGATGGGAATGTCCGCATAGGCTTCGATGTTTGAGTGCTGAATATTTGGTCCCTAGGTGGTGTTGCGGCTTGGTGAGGCTTAGGAGGTGGGGTCTTGCTTGAGGTAATACGTCATTAGTTGGGGATGCATTTTGAAAATTTAAATCCTTCACCACTTCTGGGTAGCTCTCTCTGTGCTTTCAGATGAGGACGTGAGTTCTCTGCTTCCTGCTCTGGCTGCCAGGCTTCCAAGTCACGATGGATTTTTATCTCTCTGGAACCATAAGCCACAATAAATTCCTTCTTATAAAAATTGCCTCCGTCATAGTGTTTCATCATAGCATAGAAAAATAATTAATGTGTGTGTGTGTGTGTATGTGTTTAAACCAGTGGAGGTCAAAGGCAAACTCCTGACAGTTTTCTCCTTTCACCATCTTGAGTCCTGCTAATTGAACTCAGGTGATCATATCTGCTGAGTCATCTTGCTGGGCCATTTTTCTTTCTTTAAATGAAAAAAAGTTGGGATTAATTAAGTAAAGAAGAATTGTTGTTAAGTAAAGAAAAGTGGAAGTTGATTAAGAACAAAGATAATAGATCAGGGGTATATAAGTATTTTTTTATAGAATGCTGGATTTGACTTGTCGAAGGTTTCTGTGTCTAGGACACCAGCCCTTCCGTGCAGTCTTGTCTGTGACAGTAACACCATCCCCAGAAGTAAGTGAACTGGGCTGCGTGTCAAGCTTTTACTTTCTAGAAGAAATTGTGAAGAGTTATCGTTATTTGTTTGTAAATGTTTAGAAGAGTTCTCTACTAAAACCATCTGGGCCAGGAAATTTAAAATTATATATTCCATTTTTGTGGTCATAGAACTGTTCAAACTGTTATGACATTTTTCTTTTATTAGTAGTGTTTTTATCAGCAGAAAAATCAATAGTGTCTACGACAGCACCTTCATCTGCACTTTATTAATCCTCTGCCGCTCCCTTCCCTGCCCTTCTGTCCCCTTCTTGCTGTTCTTCCTTTATCTAATATGTGTGCATATATGTGGGAGTCTGCACAGGCCAGAGGAGGGCATCAGACTACAGGTGGTTGTGAGCTGCCATGTGGGTGCTGGGAACCAAACCCTGTTCCTCTGCAGAAGCAGCCAGTGCCCCTAACAGCTGAGCCATCACACAGTCCGTTTTTGATTTATTAAAATGTTTATGTCATGTTCCTCGTAGTTTCATAAACATGCACACATAGTTTATCTTGGTGTACGAATGTGGCTGTCTTGCCACTTTGAGTGACATGCAGAAATCTTCCATGTTGGTCCTTTTCCCTCCTTCAGAATGTAACTGTCTCCAGCCTTCCCCCCAAGTACAGTAATCAAAGCTGATGACATTTTAGGCCTTGCTTTAGCTGTCAAGCATGCAAAGGGACAGCCTGTTTTCCCCATTCTGTGAGGGACAGCCTGCTATGTTATACCTATTCTGTGGTCTTTGTTTTCTGAAGTTTATCTGTCATCATTTAACTTCTCATTGGAGAACCTTCTTTAGCCTTCCTCTGAGGGTAGATCTTCTAGTGATAAATTCTCTTAGTTGTGCTTCATCTTAAAATGCAATTTTTAAAAACCTGTTTCCTGAAAGATACGTTCACCAGGTAGATAATGGACAATCCTTTGCTTGTAGCAGTTGACAAACTGCTAATTGCCTCTGACCTCCATGATTTCAACCTGCGTACGTATACATGTTTGTACATGTGTACATGTGTCCTCATGTGTGTGGAAGGCAGAGATCAGTGTCCCATGTCTTCCTCTATCTCTCTCAACTTTGTGCTTTGATACAGGGTCTTTCACTGAAGTTGAAGCTCACTGACTGGCAAGGATGGCTAGCCAGCAAGGCCCAAGGACTCTTCTGGCTTCTACTCTCCAGTGTAGGCATTACAGGTGTGTGTTGTCATGCCTGGTTTTTTTCCCGTGAGTGCTGGGAATCTGAACTCTGAGCAGAGTCCTGTAAGTGTCCGTTCTTCATGGCAGGGCATCTATGGTTTTCCCTGGCTCTCACAAGACTCCATGACACCTACCACAGACTCAACGAAAGTGTTGGTTTATGACTGGCCTGCGTTATTTGCAGTGTTCTTGGTTAAAAGCAGTCAGAAACTAGTTGGTGGCCTTTCTTTTCTTGTACCACATCTGTTGAATTCCTGTGGTCCAAAGACTTCCTTAACAATTTTGTAAAATATGATTACTTGATTGGATTTTTTTTCCTGAGGCCCTAATGGATGCCAGATAATTTTTTTTTCTTAAAATAAGTTTGTGTGTGTGTGTGTGTGTGTGTGTGTGTGTTTTATACTGTGTGCCTCACTCAAGTGTTGTGCACATGTACATGTGGGAACATATGTGTATGTACGCATGTGGAAACCAAAGGCCAATGTTGAGTGTCCTTTTTAATCACTCTCCACTTTGTTTTTTGAGACAAGGTCTCTCATTGAGCCTGGGGTTCTGGTAACAGAATCCATTTGTTTCCAGACACTCTCCCAGCTCTGGGGTTCTGGAAACACACTGCCATACCCAGTTTTCTTTATATGAACACTGGGGATTTGAACTCAGGTCCTCACGCTTACATGACAGGAACTTTCCCGATAGGGCCACCTCACCAGCCCCTTTCTTCTTATTTTTGACTCTTATTTGATGAAGGGGAAAAAGAATTTCAAAAGGAACACCGCTTGAACTTAGGAAAGTCTGAGTTAGAATGCTGGTGAAAACCCAGCTGCTTTTTCAGTGAGGTTTCCCTTTTAAAATTTGACCCTCGCTGCTCTGCACAGGCTACACCGGCCAGCCTCTTACACCCAGGAAGGCGTCAGCCTCATTCACTGGACACGGGCCTGGCCCCGTGGCCCCATCATTATTCAGCTTTACTATGCACAGTTGGTTTCCATCGCAGACAGTGGTACCCAGGCAGGTGGGACCCTGACCCACCTAACAATGACTCCTGTGCCCACCCCACTTGTACCTCTCCCCCCATCCACCTACTTCCAACTCAGGCTCATTTTAGAAACTCAGTTTGGGAACCATCTCTGGGGGTTCTCCGTGCTATCATCCAGGCACTGAGTGACATCCCTCTGATGTCACTCCCATCCTGTTGCGTGCCAATTGCCATCCTGTTACTCCCATCAGACGAAAAGCCCCTTGGAGGCAGGGACTGGTTCTTAGGGCTTTGGGGCCCCTGTCCATTCGTACCGATAAACCACTTGTGTGGGGACTTCCTCTGGCCAGAGCTCACCAGCAGCAGGTGACTGCCGGAGACTGTCTCTGCTGAATGTCCCTGTGCAAAGTTCAGCCATTCTGAGGCAGGGTTAATCACCCTCATGTTCTCTCAAGCATCTGCTTATTTGCTCAGTTCGGGATTAGTATAAATGTTTTTGTTCTAAAACACCAACCTCTCACGTTTGGAAAACTCTGTCATTTCCCCTCCATCTCACTGTTGGATCTTGGGAGCCCTTGTTGCTGCATTGACATTTATCGACCTGTCTTTCCTGTCAGCCCATACGCCACCTGAGTCAGGGACTGGCTCTTCTCTAAATTTCCAGTTCGACGACAAGGTGGCAGTCTAAGTGTTGATGGGAAGAGCACTCTACCACAGATCTGCTATTGCTCACTATCGAGTCTGGGCCTTCCAGTCTCTGCATAGTTACTTCCCGCATGCTGTTCGCCCTCATTCTAAACCACTCTGAGTTCCTCCTTTGGGGGGGCAGTAGAAGAAAAGGGTAAAGGCACCACATTTTAAAGCAGTCTGTTCGGTCCTCCCTAGGTACTATCTTGGTCGTGGGATGCCCGTTGTTATTTCTGAGCCAGACGTGATCAAGCAGACGTTGGTCGAGAACTTCAGTAACTTTTCCAACAGAATGGTATGGAGTTTAAACTCTGCATGTAGATGGGAGTGGGGCCATGCTTGTGGTTGTGGAGGGGCGGCTTGTGATAGCTAACCTTGGTTGGCAGGCTGACACATAGGAAGAGGAAACCTCAGCAGAGGGATCGCCTCCATCAGACTGGCCTGTGGGCATGGGGGGGGGGGCATTTTCTGGATGGTTAGTTGATGTTGGATGCCCTAGACTGCTGTGGGCGGTTTCATCCCTAGACAGGTAGCCCTGGGCTATAAAGCGAGGTAGGTGGACATGGGCCTGGAAGCAAGCCAGTAAGCGACATTCCTCCATGATTTCTCCAGGTTCCTGCCTTGAGGACCTGTCTGACTCCCATTGACAGCGGAAGCTGTGAGGTGAAATAAACCCTTTCATCTCCAAACTGCCTTTGGCTGTGGTGTTTATCACAGCCACAGGGCATTAGTTATTGTTGCTGCTGTGATCAAACAGCATGTTCAAAAGCAGCTCCCAGAAGAAAGCTTTATTTTACCTTACAGTCCCAGAGCGAGCAGAGTCCTTCCTGGTGGGGAGGGCATGACAGCAAGCCACAGACGTGGTGGCCAGCTAAGGCAGCTGAGAGCCGGCATCTTCAAACGTAAGCATGAGCAGGGAAAAAGTAGGAAGTGAGGTGAGACTACGAACCCACTGATGTCCTTCCTCAAGTGAAACTTCACAAAGCTTCCAAACCTTTCCAAACAGCACCAGTGACTAGGGACCAAGTGCTCAAATAGCTGAGCCTCTGGGAAAAATTCTATTCGAACCACCACAAACAAGACTCAAGCTAAACAGGCTTCCGTGGAGCTGAGGTCTTAGAAGCTAGCTTCCCAGTAAGCACGGCGTTTTGAGAGATGCCCCGAACCACTACAAAGATTTACACCCAAGAAAACTAGAGCAAAAGAGAAAGTGGAGCTGGTAGAAAATGCGAAAGCCAAGAGAGATGGCTAAATCTGTGTTCAAAGTTAGAGGATCCACGGGGCACAGGCCACGTGGCTGAGAAATACCAAGCAAGGTTAATAAATGCCAGAGGGAGAGCAAACTTTGAGGGTCCGTGTGCATATCTTTCTCAGGAACCATGAAAGCTAAAGAGGAAAGATAAACAACACCCGCAGGGAAATTAGGCCCCAGGTGTTAACAGCAGGAGTCTATAGAGGACCCCTGTGCCAATTCAAGTCCCCAGCCCACTTTTCCTGCATTAATGAAAAAAATTCCAAATAGAAGAAATGGCAGTTGCTTGGTGCCACCCACATATTCCCAAGGTGAGGAGACAGAAGTTTCAGCAAAGCAGGTTACTGACCTTCATGTTGATGCTTAGAAAGAGTCTCAGGTGAATTAATAAGCACAGATTAAAAATGTGTGTGCGTGTGTGTGTATGTGTGTGTGTATGTGCACGTGCATGCACATAGAGTTCAGAGGTTAACCCCAGTGACTGTCTATTTTTGCTTCCACATTGTTTGAGACAGAAGAGGTTCTTGTCGTTTGCCGCTGTATACACCGAACTAGCTGGCTGTTAAACTTTTAGAAACTCTCCTGCCTCCACCTCCCACCTTGTAGAAACACTGGGACTGAAGACATGTGCTGCTGAACCTGACTTTACGGGGGTCTGTGGTTCCGAACACAGGTCCGAACACTTGCGCAGTAAGCGTTTTGGCCACTGAGTCATTGCCCTAGCCCAGACTTCTCTTACAGTTTTTGCAGGGTTGGCAGGTAACACACTCTTTTGTTGACTGTTTGGCACGCCGGTGCATGCCTGCGGTACACCAGGCACTGTGAGGATGCTAACTGAAAAGAGGAAGAGGACAGCAGCTCATCCATCCTCAGGTCCTGTGAAGGGAGCAGACCATGTGGGGAGGCTCGCACAGTAGGAGGTTCAGGGTCATCCAGGCTTCTGTGGAGAAACTTACTTAAAGCTGCGTGACGCTTGAGACGCAGCGTAAAATGCTAGGCCTCCTCCTGCATCCCCTACTGACTGAGCTGTCCAGAGTGGGCTTTTTGTTCCTCATGAGAATACATGGGGGGTGGACAGATTCGGCAGTTAAAAGCATTTGCTGAGTGGTGGCACATGCCTTTGATCTTGGCACTCACGAAAGCAGAGGCAAGAGGATCTCTGTAAGTTTGAGATTAGCCTGGTCTACAAAGTGAGTCCAGGACCGCCGAGGCTTGTCTGGAAAAGCGAACAAACAAACAAGCAAACAAAGGTACTTGCTACTCTTGCACAGGAGCTGGATTTGGTTTTCAGCACCCACATTTCAGTGCAGTTTCCTGTAATGCCAGTTCTGAGGGCTCTAACGCCATCTTCTGACCTCTGCCGTCACTGTCTCCATGCGGTACTAGACATACATGCAGACAAATACCCACACACATGAAACAAAAAAGAGTATATGAGATTGATACAGTGAGCCTGGTCCATTTCACAGACAAGGAGACTGAGGCCCACAAAGGCTGCATGGCCAGCCTAGTCCCAGGTGACCTTGAGGACTGGAAAGGAATGAGGCCACCTCCCACCTCGAGCCCAGCACTCTCTGTACTTCACCACCACCGCTGGTGTCTTGGGAGACACTTCTAGATATCAAAGTTCAACAGTGGTTGACCACTCACCCTAACTGGCAAACGTGCTCGTCGTCACTGGGCCCAGTTCCACACCCCGCATGCCACCCTGTGGCCTTCGAGCGGCTAAAGGAATCATGGGAGTTTAGTTGCTTCCTGCTGCCTTGAGTGTTTTCACTCTTTCACCCAAAGACCACTGGCAGGCTCTGCCCTGCTGGGCTGGGGTACAGCACGCTGTAATCCCAGCACTCATGGAGGCAGAGGCAGACGGATCTCTGTGCGTTCAAGGCCCACCTGGTCTATAAAAGGAGTCCAGGACAGCCACGACTACACAGAAAAACCCTGTCTCAAAACAACAACAACAAAACAAAAAACAACCAACCAACAAACCAAGCAAACAAAAGGACATATGTCAAAGAGCACAAACCACCAAGTCACACCCCAAGCAGGCAGCGAGGGCTCTGCAGGTTCCTGTAATGCTTCCTGGGGCTACCTGAGCCCCTGAAGGTGACTTGAGCATCAGAGCTGTGAGTCTGTATTTGACTTCTTGCCACACCGAAGACGCTGCTGGGCAGGAGACCTGAGAGCTGGCCCTGAGGTGCAGACAGACCCAAGGCACTTGTGCCAGCAGAGGCCACTAAAGGAAGCTACCCTCAGCGGCTGTCAGCTTTCCCACACACCATTTTTTCTGCCCTCTTTAATTTCCTCCTCACAAACTAGGTCCCAGGCCCCACCTTCTAGGCTATGGCTCAGAATGTCCTTCCTCTTGCATTCAATAAGGGTCAGCTTTTGAGGTCTTCCCTCGAGATGAAAGAGCATCCATAACTCAGAGACAGGTCACATGTTCCAACCTAATCTCTCCCCACTCTCCAACACAAGGTGTCCCTCCGGCCCTCCTGGTCTCTCGAATCTCTCCCTGTCTCCCAGCCTGCCCCTGGATCTCTGCACAGGCCGGTAACTCCTAAAATAAGAGGTGATAGGATGACAGGGCTTGCGCTTATGAGCAGTGTGTGGGGGAGTAAATCTAACTTCTTGAGGCCTCTTGCTCCTCCTTTGGAAACTGGGGGCATACGCTACCTCACTGGGCTGTTGTAAAGTTAGATGGACTCATCCATACAAGCCGTGGCCCTGAGAGTCAACACTTGCTTGATATCCGCTGGCTGCGTTCAATTCATCACCTCTTCTGCCCTGTGCAAAACCTAACTGTTCTTCAAGGCTCTCTTCTGATTCTGCCTCCTCCAGGAAGCCTTCCCTGCCTCCATCCACATTTCCCCTCCTCTGTGCTCTTATACTCTCATTAACCTGCAATCATTTGTCTCCATAAGTGACCCCATTGGGACATCTGGCTTTTGCCCTAACTCGGTGATTTATTTTTTCAAGCCTAAGGACGGTGTTTTCTATACCCCCTTTATACTTTATGGCCCAAACACATAACGACTGTCATGATTTGAGTGTGAAATGTCTCTCAATGGGCTCATGTGTTTGAATATTTGTTCCCCAGCTGAGGCTACTGTTTGGAAGGCTGTGGGAGTCTTCAGAAGAGTGGGGCCTAGATGGAGAAAATCGGCCCCTGGAAAGTAGGCCTTAGCGATTATGAGGCTGTCTGTCTCAGCTTCTGGCCTGCCAAGCAATGTATGAGCAAACAGCTTCGTGCTCCTGCCACGTTCATGAGCTGCTCTCATTGTCTCGATTATACCATCATGCTAGGCTTCATATTTACCACGAGGAAGAATGAGTCCATAAGAGTAAGTTACCTCATGTCAGGTATGTGGCCATGGCAACGGGAAAGGCGAGTTAATGCACTGTCTCTTCTAAATCCAAATGAAATATTCAACCATCCATAGGCTTGACCTTCTCCGCAGTATAAGCTGTGCCTGACCCTGGAGAGCCCACATCTACTTCCTAGCAAGGTCACTCACAAAGATCCATCATAGACCAGATCTCTAGGAAACCCTAGAGATAATTTTCCATCTGGGAGGACCCTGCTTATCTTCAGCTTTGTTTGTGGTCTTTAAACCAATTCCATATTCATGATAAAACAACCCTAGTGACTCAGTTTAAAAAAAAAAAAAAACAGTCATTAGAGCAGGATTTTCTCACAGGTTTTTGAAAGTCAAATTAAACCAGTTCTGTGGTTCCCTCTTTTCCATATGCTTATTTATCTGCTCAAAGAATTCAAGGAGATTAGCGAGGCGTGATTCCCCCCGCCGACACCATGCCGACTTCCCTTTAATAAGCCATGTTTACTTAAGTGTTCAGCTTTATTATACATTCGCTCGGTAAACATTAAACGCTTACTCCATGCAAGCGTCTACCAAGAGGTCCCTTGTGATACAGAAACACTTCTGCATATTAGTTTGATGCATTAAATGAAAAGGAACTTAAATAACACATAGCTTCATTTTCCACCGTCGAGAGTCTGTTCCTGCTCACACATCCCATTC